GGAGAGGAGTCTTCTCGGCATCCTCCTTCGCCTCCTGGCTCAAGTCAGATTGATGAAAACAACGAGGGGCAACACGCAACAACACCGCGGCGCACGGACTCCGAAGATGAGTCGGCGCGCCGGATGCATCACAAGGCGAAACGAGAGCCAGCCGTCCCAAAGGTCACAAGCGCGAACGGCTGTCGCCGCTGCCGCTCTCGCCGTCGCCAGCATTGCCACCATATTGCCACTATCGCCGCCAACAGCGCAGCAAGAATAAAACAACACCAACGTCAGCAACACAAGCACCACTCCACAACAGCAACAGCAGCAGCAACAGCGGCAACAGCGGCAACAGCAGCAACAGGAGCAGCAATAGCAGCAACAGCGGCAACAGCAGCAACAGGAGCAGCAATAACAGCAGCGGCGGCAACAACAATAAACAACTACCAACAGCGGCAGCAGCAGCAGCAGCAGCACCACCACCACCACCACCACCACTAGTAACAGCAACAACAGCAACAGACTAGCATACCATGATCCTGCAAACTCGCCTGCACCCCGGCGGAGATCTTGCCAATCTCCGTCCGCATGCCGGTCGCCGTGACCACCGCCCATGCCTGCCCGCCGGTGACCATTGTGCCGGAGAACACCATGTTGCGTTTCCCCTGCGTTCCCCCCACGAAAAAAAAAAAAAAAGACGCATGCCACGAGGAGCGGACACGAAAAGACAGAAGCAATTAGACCGCATATGGTACGCCAAACGCGGAATAGGCTCTCGCAAAAACGACGACGACGACAACAACAACAACAACAAACAAGAGAAACCACCAAACCAAGACTCATCAAACGCGACTCACGGCAATGGTGCTGTCAACGGGAACAGCGTCGGTGGACTTGAAGACGGCCACGCTCTCCCCAGTGAGGCTGCCCTCCTCGCACCCGAAGGTCGTGGTCTTGAGGGACAGCAGACGAGCGTCCGCCGCAACCTAAGGGAAAGAAAGCCATTGCGTGGTACATGGACGGACGGGTGAAAAGAGAAACAGTATGTTTTGGCCCACGTCCTGTTAGTTTAGCAATGCTCCTAAACAGTTGTGTCGAAGCTTCCATGATCGAAGATTGTCGACCGTAGATATCGTGCGGCAGAAACGAGAGACAGTCGCGGGGAGGGGAGAGCTTCGCCAAAAAAAAAAAAAAAACGGTGCATAGAGGGGGGGTTGGAGAGGTTTTTGGCTTCGACAAACCGCCGCTTGAGCGACCAACCACCATCGAAGCGACAGGCAGCGGTGAGCAGGGCACCCTACCACAGGACAAGCAAATGTCGCAGGCAAACAAAACTGCAATAGCAATTTTTCTCACGAAACACAAAACCGGATCGAATCGATCTGTCGGTGCAATCATGCATCGAGCGGTACACAGCAAGAGCCCTACGCTGCAACGTGACCGAGGTAAGAGGTATCTTACTTCACAAAAAACAAAAGCATGTTGCCCTGACTGAATAGCACCCCCCCCAAACTCCTCGCCTGCGAAGCAGCTTGACAACGACGACAACAACCATGACAACAACACAGCAGCTGCGGCGGCCCAGAGGCGACCAAACCTCTCCGCGGTTGCCCACCTCCTCCCTCCACTCGCTCTCCTCAGGGCACGGTACTATTCTACATACAGGTCCTACAGCAGTATCATAGTGCCAGTACGGTGCGGCGAGACACACAAGAGCGAGCTTTTGGCTTTACTAACCTTGTCCCCCACCCTGAGGTACATCAAGTCTCCCGGCACGAGCTCCGCGGCTGGCAGAGCACCGATAAGCTCACCTGAGAACGAAACAACACACAAAAAACAAATTTATGCATACTGTCACATGCAAACAAATAACGTCCTAGGCATCTTGAACACACAGACAAAACAAACTTACGCACACATGTACACAACCCTATACCCTATCCCTACCCTTGAACTCAGTGGATATTTTCAACCCACAGACAACACAGACAAGCCAAGTATGCTACGTGCAAAGAGACTATGCATAGGAACAAAAAAAAAAAAAAACGCAAAGAAGACGTGCCTCTCCCTGACTTGTGGTTTTCCAGTCTCCGAAGAAGCTGGACGACAAGCGAGAGGGCCCTCACGACAGGAGACACGTGCGATCAAACACCCGCAACAGCTACAACAAAGCCGCTGAGTCAAATAGGGGCAACCCGGAGGCCCGGCCATACCAAATCAACCCTCAGCTCTGTCCCTGCATCCATGCAAGCACTCCTGCTGGAACCCTATTCCTTCTTTCAGCATTCCGTTGTACACATCTACGTAGACCCTCGAGCGGAGCGGGAGTGGGCAGGGGAAACTCACCGTCGCGGACCACGCAGGCGTTATCCGGCTGGAGCTTCTTCAGCGCGTCCAGAGAATCCTGCGCGGAACGGCTCTGCCACACCCCGACCGCGGCGTTCAGGACAAGGATAGCAAGGATGCTCGCCGGCTCCACAAACGCCTTCTCGAAGGAAAAAAAAAAAAAAATGGGGAGTTCGAGGAGGTTGGTCATGATGGAGTGAGTCGACTGCAGACCGCTTGACGTTGGGGTCTGTTCGGGAGGAAGACGGTTCGGGGGCGCGGACCTTTTGGGGGGCTGTGGAAATGAGTGTCGGCGTGTGCGCGCGCCAAGACGCGCCAAGAGAGCACGGAAAAAATGAAAAGAAAAAGACAGGATGGATTTTTGTTTTCTTCACGATCGGGCAGAAGCACCGGATTTCAGCGCTCGGTTTGTTGTTGTGTTGTTGTTGTTGTTGTTGTTGTTCTCTTCACATTGACAACAGTTCCGATTTCTCTATCCAGCACTTTCATCTGCCCGTACTCATCTAACACTTGACGCGAGCGATTCCCGTGGTCACGGGCTAACTTACACCCTGAAAAAGTATACTCGAATAAAATGGACCCGAAGGGCCCGCAAGTCAATGGCAATCAACGACAGATAGCCTAGAACCCTCCGCTCGCATCTATCCGCTATGCGAGGAAAAAATGGAACTGGAAGTCGACATCACGGGTCAGAGAGAGAGGTACATTCCTAGTTCAATCTTTGTACTTGACAGAAAAAGAGAGAAGGCCATCTGGAAATGAAAAGAGAGAAGATAAAATACAAAAGAAAAAGAAGGACAAAATGATATCTGATGAGTACGAAACCTTCTAGAGGTCGGGTCAGGGGTTCGAATCCCGGCGTAAGCGAGCTTTTCTTGCAAAGTGAGTTGTTCTCTCGCTTCCGCTCCTGGCCTAGTGGATAGCGCTAGTTCGTGTGTACACAGAGGGAAGAGAGTGCTGAACTCTTCTCGCATTAAAAATCGAAGGCAACGTACCTTGGGGTCGTCCTCGAAGGCGCTGAGCACCCCCGACAGCACCGCCACGGCGAGAAGGATCTGCACCAGCCGGTCCTCGAACTGCTCCAAGACCATGCTCAACAGAGACTTCATTTCGCACCCCACACGGCGTTAAAATGGTTACGTAGATGCATGTTCCACGGTGGTTACATGAACCGCCACACGGTGTAGACGTCCCGTGACCCGGAACATGAGGGGGCACGGTGGAGGGAGAGAGTAGGAGGGGGGGGGGTTAGATAGCAAGGGGAACAAGCCAACACTGGTGCTGCTGTTGTATTGTTTATCTGTGTTCGTCCTGTTTTGGCACGAAAAAGTTCGCAACGGGTGGATAAAATCACCGCAGTGAAAAATAACGGTACACATCAACAAATAAATGGATTTTTTCAAAAGAGTCTGACTTCCGAAACGAAAGAGCCAAATCATCACCGCAGCAAGCACTCTCGCATAAAGCACGTACCTCGACCTCGAACGACTCATGACTCATCTTTTTCCAACCACACAAAACAAAAACTGACGGCCTCAACGCTTCGAGCAAGACTATCGAGTAAGATTATCCCATCATTTGCGCACATCAGAGAGTTTTATCCGTGCGATTAATCGACTCGAGGAGTGGGTGTCTGGCATCCTCACCGCAGGACCCAACGTTCGTGCAAGTATACGGTCTTAACCTACATGACACCGCCTGCATGGATCGACAAAAGACGTGTCGACCCTGAAACGGCCGCGTGGGGAAACATAAAAATGCGGGGGGGGGGTATTACCTGCTTTTCCGGCTCCTTCAAGCTGTTGGGGCCGTACATTGCCAGCCTGTTCTGCACTTCAGCAGCGGTGAGTCCCTGGCGCAGGGAGGTCAGTTGGGGCCGACAAGAAAACAACAACAACAAAAAGAGGTTTAGATAGCTACGATAGGTCTTTCTTCGCGAGTCACAACGGGATAAGCCCAAGCCGTATTCAGGATAAAGTCTGGCACAGCATACCATTTGTTTCTTGGAGCTTGTCTCTTGCGCATGATTGGGGCTTGGTCTGATACGTATTTCCTGCTGTGTGTATAGCCGTGATGACGGAAACTCGTGCCTCTGCCACTGCTTGCGAACTGCGACCACGCCTGACGGAACGGTGTCGCTATCGCTTTCGTTGCTGTAGTCTTAGACACGCAAAAAAAAAAAATTCTAGCCTCCAGTACCGCGGTCTTCCGGTTCACACAACAGCGGTAGTACCCCGGCCGACCAATCAAGCAAGAAAAAGCCACTGGCTGTACAGGCTACTTCGACAGAACCGCATGAGCACAGATGGTCACAGCCGGGCCTCGCAAAACTGCTGGAAGTCAAGTGACTGCCGCTTGAAGAATGACGGTCCCGCCTGGCTTAACACTGACAAGTAAGGCGGCCGTCCTCTACAACAACGCCTCTGCATCTATATATGGCAAGCATCGTCGTCATCAGACGCCGCCAACCGAGTGGCGGCAGCGTTCGCCCCCCCGGGAAGCAGCCGACCTCCACCAACACCAGTAATTCTGAATAGTCTTGCCCCCCCCCCCCCCCTACCTACCTGGTTTGGCACAGCAAAGGCAACTAAGATGGCAAGCTTCTAGCTCATACTTGCAAAACGTTTCCTGGGCCGGCGATATCGCCCCTTCCCGGCATTGTAGGGATGCGAGGTCAACGGTCTAACGACCGCGGCATGCGTTTACATGAGTACACCCCCCCCCCCCCCCGGCCAAAAGGGAAAAAAATTTTAATCACGTTTGGGAAAATAAGAAATAAGAAGGAAACATTGGGCCTCCGGGAACGGTCCTCCCGCGGGAAAAAAGGTCCCTCCTTTTCAAAAAAACTGGGCCCTGGTGTAACCCTTTAGGGATGCCAAAAAAAAAAATCCACCCACCCCCCCTCCCCCCCATTATCCCTTATAGCCCCGGCCATCGT